TTCATGTTGACCATTGTGATGCTCAGATGAGAAAGGGGCTAAGACTTTTAGTGTAGCATTGTTCTCTCTTTCTTCATTTAGCGGGAAGTGCATTAAATCTCCCCATCCACAAACATTCTGTGTCATGCTATTGATTGGCAGATGTATTTGGGAGAAGACTGCTTTATGCAGCACACTCCTCCTTGCAAATTAAACGTTTACAGGTAGGGAATAGGCTATAAAGGGGACTGCTCACAGCTGTCAGATGATTTAGTGTGTTGGAGTGGACACAACCAGTAGTCAACATTCCCCCCCTGTGTTAATGTCTATTTCCAAATATATTTAGCCCTTTCCTAGCAAAAGATCCACTGCGGTTCAGAAGCCTGAAAGCAGTATGTGAATGGTGGTTGCTCACAGGGAATTTTGTGAGGGCAAATGCTTAAGCTGACAGCTATTGATGGCCTGAACACCCCCCTGTTCGGTTCGAATTTGAACTTTCGAACATGGGGAAACCCTTTAGGTCTGACAGGAATGTTAGGAGGGACCAAATAAAAAAAAAAGTGTGGGGTTCCCCCCAAAAGTCATACCATACCCTTATGGTCTGGTAGGAATATTGAAGAGGGACCCCATGTAAAATAAAATGTGGCCTCCCATACCAGGCCACATGCCCTCGGCACTGGGAGGGTTCTTTTAAAGGGTTGCCCCTGGAAAAGCACGTTGTCCCTGTGTCGATGGGGACAAGAGCCTCTTCCCCTCAAGCCCTGGGGCATTGGTTGTAGAGGTGTGGGCAGGGGGCGTATTCACATCAAGGTACCTCTTTAATAAAGGGGCACCCAGATGCCCCCTCCCCCCCTTGTGAATGCGTAAGGAATCCCTACCCATTCACTAATAGGTTAAATAAAATTGTAAATAAAAAGTCCAGGCTTTTGAAAAAATCCTTTATTTGGAAAAAAAACAAAAGACATGTTTTTGACAAGTCTTTCATTTTTTTTAAAATGGATCCACCGTATAAGTTCATGGTCAATCAGGACCAAATAACAAATAAAACAAAATAAAAAATAAATCGAAATAATAATTTTTAAAAAGATGCAGACCCCCGTCCCGTCTGCTCGCGACGAATACCTGCCGCATAATGGCATTTTGACAGATGCCGGCAAAACATATACAAATGGGCGGGGCTATCAGTGACAGCTAGCCCCGCCCAACTGTGTAGTTTTACGTCATCTGACAGGTGAGCCATGATTGGGCAAGTACTGAGCCCAGTTTTGAAGTTCTGCACCTGACCTATGTACCTAACAGACCTAAAGGGTTTCCCCATGTTCGAAAGTTCGAATTCGAACTGAACAGGGTGGTGTTTGGGCCATCAATAGCTGTCAGCTTAAGCATTTCCCCTCACAAAATGCCCAGCGAGCAACCACCTATGGTCAGGTGCAAGCCTTTAGCCAATTAGGGCTTCACAAGGCACATTGCCTTGTGGGGGCGTTCAACGGTCGAACAGACCGCTGAACGCCCTTATAGTTCATGTGTTCGGGGAAAGGTGCTCCCCAGGGCGAGAGTACAGTATGTGAGTGGCCTGAACAATTAACGTAGGGACAGTTTAAGGTAATATTCTATCATTTTCACCATAACAGAATTAGAGGCAACATCTTCCACAGGGTGCGCCTGTTCTGATGTTTGTCTGTTCTGTCAGAGGTGGACTTTTCTTTATTTTGGGACTAGAAAGCACAGGAAATGTTTGTGATAAGTTCATGGGAAAAAAAACCTTCTTTGTTAACTCTTTCATGATCAGAGTTTTATGAAGCTAAAATGCCAAGACCAAGTTCTGTAGCACCACATAACTGAACAATAACTGTGTCTAATGTGTCTGTTATGGATAGAGTTTGAGAACTAGGAACACATACAGGTGCACTTCCTAAGTTAAGCTGGACTTAAAAAGGTATATTGCAGTCACAAAGGGGCTAATGCTTTTATAGTAGATCAACTAATCTATCTATCTCTGTAACTTTTTTCTACTGCTCTTTAGAAATAACCTGTTTTTTCTTCCCCCATAAAAATGGAGACATTGTTGAGGCTCACAAGATTACTAGAAATACAAATGCAAACATTGATGACTCAGCCACTTACATGTATATTTACACGACAGCCTAAGACTGCAGGAAGAAAATTAAACAATCTATTTGCCATCAAATGTCAATTTCTGAAGAGAAAACATCCTAATGTCTCTATTCACTTTCCAGTGCTGCTCTAAGATGTACTGTGTTGTGTTATAATCCACAGTTCACAGTGTCACATACCGTTCTCTGTGATTGGTTATGAACAGAGATAAAGCAGTGGATAAAAGGCAACTATAAATAAGGAAGAACAAAGTGTAAGTTCACAATGCCACTTAAATCTACTCAATTGTCAGTGTGTGCAACATTATTTTACTTTACAGAATTCCATTTGTAAACTTTGAATTGAATGTAGACTTAAAAATATGTTGCCATTTGCCTCCACAAAGTCATAGTGCCTGCATATGAAAAGGATATTAAAAGGGAGACTAATGGCGGCCATACACTGCACAATTTTTGTTTAGAAATCGCACACAAACTGTCTTTCGAATGACAATTGAACATTTGATGGTACAACACCAATTTTCGTTTTTGGTATTGTGATCAAAATTTTTCAATCGGTCAGGTTGGAAAGTTATTCTCCGACCCAACAAAAATCAAAGAATCAGTGGGGTTTTCGTTCGTCAAAAACCTTGGCAAGAACACAGCACATGCGCAAAAGGAAATTATTCCCAAAGTTCGCCAAAAAATGGTTAGTTAGTATGGCTAAAGAACGATTTCTTAAATCCACATTTGACTATGCTTGATGGGGTATTCGAGCTATAATCGAATGAGGGTGCCTGGTTTGAAATGAAACATTTTGACTAAAAATCTACTAGTGTATATCCAACTAACATAGTTTTGGCCAATGTTTTTCCATGAATCCCCTAACTTTTTGAATTTAAATATTTTTTTCTTCCATGTCTCTCTTTCTCATTCATTGTACAAACAGCATTTTATACATGATAAAGGATTCACAAGCTCCCTGCCTATTGGCTCGCTTCGCCTGAATGAAACCTGAGAGAAAGCCATCCAATAAAGGACAAGTCAAGGCATTCACTTGTACAGTAAATTGTGTAAATATTATCTAGAGTTACTGAGCTCTGCAAATAACATGCTTTGTGCAGCAGCAGAAAGGTAACAGGAAAATATTTGTACAGGAGCATAAATCTCCACTGTCTGGTTAGACACATGACTACATCATAATGATATGCAATATTTCATATTTATAATACCATAACACATTAAGGCTGCCTTTTATACACTGAAGAATCTGTATTCTGGATGTAAGTTTTAATAAATATTAGGCTGTAGTACACTTACTCTATTAATACCTGTATTAATGTTCTAAAATGTAACACCTATCCACCTTCAATCTGTATGGGGATATGTTACTAATTGTCCTCTCTTTGAGAGCCAACATCTCTCAATCCCAGCTGTTAATGACAGCTCTGGTAGTGATTCCTGCTCAAATGACCATTATATTAACTATGACAAAGTGATCCCATACAGGCTCTAGGTTTAATTCACAAAATAAGCCTTCACCCTGCAGATAGCAATGCAGAAGCCACTGCAGCCTGAGGTTAGCAGTGTTCATCTGTTTAATACTGCAATATTCAGATACAACTACAGTATTAATAAATATACTTTTTTTTTAACATTTCTGCACATTTGTAAGCCTTTAATTAAAAAAGTGCAGTACACCAAATACAAACCTTAATCCTCATTCACATTGACAAATATGCATTCATATGCTTTTAGAGGTCATTTCTAAATGTATATCAATAATTTTTAATTGTATCTTTCAAGGGGCGTGGCCAGGATGTGAAGCAGCGCGGACGTGTCTGGAGGAGCTCCGTCGCTGCACTAACGAAATCCGCTCGATATCCTGTCAGTTCAGCCCTACTTATACTCACCTAAACTCCGGTGGGTGTCTGGTGCAGGGTGACATGACCGCCAGGTCCGGCAAACGTACCGACACTCCGAAACGAGGCAAAAAGGCAAAGGGAGCGGCCCCACGCTTGTCCGGAATTTCTCATAGACTACGACTTCATGTACACTGACTCCAAGACGCATGTCCCAGATGGACTCCGGATCCTGGGATGTCCAGGCATGTGTACCTCTACCTTACCAATATCTACTGCATAAGGTACTGATCCTGGACATACTCTGTTATCCGTATGGCTGACCGATGTTACCTTATGGTGCAGCGACGAATGTTAGCTCCACTGCAGCGTGGACAGACACAAGAGTTTTATTTTTATTTTTGGTGCCACATTGTATCTTTCAAGCTGAACATTTAGGTGTATTCAGTTTAGCTGCATTTAAAGAAAATAGAATATTTTGCGTTCAGACTCCTGTGGATAAATGCATGTAAAGTCGGCTAAACCCAATTAAAGACAAGTACATCTAAATGCACCAAAAGGGATCTGGAAAGCATACATTTTGTTTATACTTCTCAGATAATTTCACCTGCATCAGGTTATTTAAAGTGCTAGTGTGCTAGTGCTAGTTAAAAGACCCATGCTAAAGCTGCTAAATTTGGCCTAGTTATCAGCGACCTCTGGCCATAAGAGGGTTAAACCTGGAATAAAAATGTAAAATGTTACCCATGAACATGTTTTTTAAACAAATGGGATTCCTTTAGAAACCAGCCCTGCGATTGGTCCACTCTGTTCTCAAGAATTTTTTTTTTTTAAATTAGAAAATCGCTGTGAACAATAATAGGACTTCCTACACTCAGAAGACCTCAGAAGAGCCGCTAGGGAATACATGGCTTTATTGATACCTGGTTGCTGTAGTGGTCTGGAATGAAGCTATGTATGACATGTATTAAAAGACAAAGTGATTGTTTTGAAAAACCTGAATGCATGTTACAGGCCACTGGCACTTTTATAAGAAGTAAATATGTAAATTAGCTCGATTACTTACTGTTTGGTCCGTCAGGGGGGGTAGTACAATCTGCTTTTCAATTGTATTAAGGACTAATTTCCACAGCTCCTTCAAAACACGTTTTAACACCGTCTTCTCGCATATTTTGGCAGACACTGATAAACTAAAATAAATGTGAAAATGTTTTTATTAAAATAACCACGACGATCTAAAATATACCAATGGAAAACAAATAATTTTTTACCCTTAATCTACCAGCCCGGTAAGTTTCTGCTACCTCAAGCATAACTACAGGGAAGGTAGGGCAAAATACAGGCTCATAGGGCATCACTGATATTTCCATTTGCCTGCTGTGTGCTTATGTTGAATTAAGCAGCATTTCTGTTTCTTTGAAATGCTCTATAAACTACTTATTGTGGAATTGTCTTTAGTTGGATAATATGAGAAGAAGAGGTATAAATAACAGCTAGGTTCAGTCTGCTATTTGTAACTAAGGTTTAGGTGCATAATTTGCCATTATATTTCATGCTAAATGCTAGACTATGAAGTGCTCATTTTTAATATCACTGGATAAAACACTGGTCTTTTTCAACGCTTGTAATTAATGATGGAGTTTAATGGAGAATTGCATTATTCATTCCTGCAAACCAAGCAGCAGTTTATCCAAGGGAAAGAAAAAAGTCCCAAAAAATGCAAACACTTTACAGCCATACATGACTATAACATTATATGGCTGCAGTTAAAATAAGATGTAGTGACCAATGCAAATCTAACTATTTATAAACAGCATTGTATCATGCAATATCATCAGATGCTATATCATCTGCAAAATTAAATAAAAGCACACCATCCCTGATAAACTAGGACCAGGCCATGAAAGGACCCTAACTCCAAGGATGACCTAGGTATAATTAAATCGGAATTAAAATGTATAAATTGTATTGTGAAAGGCACACATAACGCTAATATTAAAACAGAATTGTGTGCTTTCTAGTTCTCTTCAGCACTATAGGCTAAATTTATAAAGCTTTACACAAGGATAAGGTTTTTTTTAAGCCATTTGAAAGTCATTTTGAAATTTCATTGGATTCAGCTGAAAATATCTAGTTTTTAAAATAAAAAATAAATGCACTTATCCTGATATTGCAGATTTGTGCATTAAGGGCTTGTTCACATTATTTTCCGACCAGATCTGCAAACACGGTGCATTGCGTTTTTGATGCACTTGTGATGCCTTATGGTGCATTCCAGTGCATTTGGCTTAAAATGGGCTTTCAGGTGCACACCAGTGTGTCCCAGGGCATTTGAAAGCATTTACATGCATTTTCTACGTGTTTACATGCATTTTAAAGCACAAAATAGTGCATGCAGCATCCCCCCGCCCAGAGCCCAGAAATACCATGGGAATACATTGGGATGCATTTCAGGTGTGGACAAAGTGATCTGGTCCAGATCTGGTCTGGACATGGTGTGAACAAGTCCTCAGTATGACAATGTAAAGCCCAAGCCTGAGTAGAAAATCCTGTCACCTGCCAATAGCTGCAGAGTTTACTCTCTGTTGGAAAACAGTGATTTCTTTGTAGATGTCCCCTACTGAGTCACTCACACTCCCTGCTGATTGGAGTGCTCTAATTGTGACCTAGCAGAGGGTGTGTAGGACTTCTGCAAAGAGACCACTACATCCCCACAGAGCAATGGTCCCTCAGGGGACAGGCTTTTCTACTCAGGAGGTGGCTACTTTTAAAAGAAAAATAACTGTAAAACGTTGCATACCTTTTGTTTTGATGCACTTGAAATGTATTTAGCCGATTTAAGCTGAAGTTTCAGTTGGGCTTTAAATAGTAACCTTTGCATAATTTTTAACAGGTTGGATAATCAGCCAATAGTGATAACAACAAGTTAAATAATTGCTCAGAATCTTTTCCTTGGAACATTTAAGTGGACCAGGTCTCTCAGGTGGACCAGATATTTTTGTACTGTTAATTGCATGCCTGATAAGTAATGTGTAAGTATAACACTTGCGAGTGTTTATTACCACTTAAGAGATCACAGTACTTCTGACAATACTCTCATCCCCCTTTCTCCCCAGAAATCAGTCTCATTTTTTGTATAGGTATCATTGAGGGCAGCATCTACTTTGTGGACTAAAATGCTGGACAATATTTGACACAGACATGTAAATCCTGATGCCTGCACAGTAGCCATCATCTCTTTGGCTGTCTATTCACATATTGCCTTATTTATTACTGGCAGCTTAATGATAAATAAAAATCATTAAATGATAAAATATATAGATATTTTTGGGTATACTGATATTGCATACAGTGACATATGAGCCATTTATTCATGCAGACCTGCAAGTTAGGTCTATTTCAATATTTAGGGCCAAATCTCTTTCTGGGGCACCAGTTGTGTAAAAGAACTTATAACACACTGCATTGTGTTAGGAGAGGGGACCCCACTCTGCAAACATGTAGCACTACAGCCCCACAGATGCCAGCCTTGTGTCTGATGCTCCCGACTGGTGTATTTGGGGTTAAAACACACATTGTCATTTTTTTTCAAATGTTATAAAAAGTTAAAAAAGAGAGTGTCAGAATCGGTTCTATTAAAGCTGTATTTTAAATCTCCATTGGCTGTGACCTGGCCCAAGCTGAGTCAGATCCATTTGCTCACCTGTTCTTGTAAGCCAACTACAGGTTTAATCAATAGATAACAAAAGAAAATGAAAAAAATTGAAATGTTGCTTTATTTTTGTACATCTGTCGAGAATACTTGGTAGATGTAGAACAGCTAGAGTCATGTTTGGACTGAGAAGTAGTTTTGTCTTGCCATTTTTTGTTTTTCATAATTATTATTTTTTTAGTTTCCTCATAAAACACAAAACTACACACTACCTGAATGGGATACTCAAATGTATTTGTAGGAGTGATAAAGGGAGATTTTGCAGAGCAGCTGTAGTCATTGTGTTTTTTATATACGACCCTGACTCCTAGATGAGGGGCATAGACCATAGGGAATCAATAGTAGAACTGCATACAAATTACATCATATCTTTTTTTCATATTCACAGGTAACCTCAAGTAGCATTTATTCCATTTTAAATTAATACAGTAATACCTTGGTTTACGAGCATAATTCGTTCCGGAAGCATGCTTGTAATCCAAAGCGCTTGTATATCAAAGCGAACTTCCCCATAGGAAATAATGGAAATTCAGATGATTCGTTCCACCACCCAAAAATATTCATATACAAATGATTACAATACTGTACTGTAATATAATACTGTACAAAATATAAAGACAAATAAACCAATTACCCATACCTTTGTGGTTGGTGTGAGTTGGACGAGAGAGAGGAGGATTATTGTGTAGGACGACTTTCACTATCACTAACGGAATCACTGCTATCTCTTAACTCAATGGAATATTTTTCATTTCGTGAAACCTTAACAAGGAATCTATTCAATGTCACATTGCATTGTCGTTAAACAGACTCATCGCTCACACAGCTACAGCCTTATTCGGGTGGCGCTTTTCTACAAAATTTTGCTCTTATTGCAAGACATTGCTTGTATATCAAGGCAAAATTTTTCAGAAATGTTTGCTTGTCTTGCAAAACGCTCTCAAACCAAGTTACTTGTAAACCAAGGTATTACTGTACTGTATTATTTCTAGCAATAATGCACATTCGTTCAGTTTATCAGAAATAAACTTCTAAACAATACACAATAAAGACCCGGACACATCAACACTGGTCAGGCAGTACTAACGTTTTATCCAGAAAATCCATCAAAGGCCTCAGTACAATTTCAGCATCCATGGCTGCGTTGTTCCTGTTTGTGGATGCGTTTCCATTGCCTCTCATCTGATTTAATTCTACACTCATTTGTCTCACACAGTCCTCAATTATGTTCTGGAAACTGGAAACAGAAGAAACTTGAATTAAGTTTTTAGACTTCTTTTGCCGCCAAGTGAGGTGCTTTGCCAGACAGAAATGCAGTACAAGAAGCGATTTTATCATTGCCTCTTCATCCCTTTTTTCTTCATTTTGAAAGCTGTTTCTATACATTTCCCTGCACTGATATCTCCCACCTACTTGTTTCTCTCTTCTATACTATGATGCTTATTGCCAGCATCACTGTTCTTCTTTACTAATCTTCTGTGAATTACAGTTTTTTCCTGTCTGTGCTCTTAAATATATTAATTCAGATTCCCCCGTTTTTATTAAGAAATTATGGATATCACAATGCTTTTTTTACTTGTAGGTAGCTCAATAAAGCTGACTATTACCGACTAAAAACATAAAGTGCTCATAATTACAATGCAACACAATGTCATATTTAATGAATGATAATAATAATATTAATAATAACAATAATAAGATGCAGTGATACATTTACTTGTAATGTGAAAAGTATCTTGGATGAGAAATAACAAGTGAAATTCCAGGACACACTTTTCTTTGACAACCGTCTACAAGGGTATACAATTTACATTAAAGAAATACTCCACTTTAAAGAAAAAGTAGAGTTTATCAATAATATAAACATTTTCTCAAATATTATTTGAAATGCTTCTGTTGTATGAGGTCCAGAAGCGAGTACAACATGTGAATGAGGGCTGCCAGTTTTGGGCTCCCAAACATAAAAACAGCCCCAATTCACTGCTGTACATTTTCTAATTCTCTTTTCAAGAAACTTGCAGAGGGTAACAGCTTAATCTACTGCAAGTCAAACTCAGAGTCTTAAGAGGAAATAGTAAGATTCACAGTGGAAGACCGGGCTTTGATAAGAGGCAGAACGCAGTCCTGAGAAGACTTGCACAGTTGATCCTACTAGAAATCCAGCCAGGCTTCTAACTTTCTGTTCCCCTGATGCACTAAAATCTCAAGTATTGTTATCAGCCCTCCCCAGTTCTCTTTTTCTGGACTACAGAACACCCCCTTGTTATGTTTTTAGACTTATGTTTTTAGACTCAGGATTCAGAGACATTGAGGATGTCCAAAAACACTCAGTAGGCAATACAACTGGGTTCCTAGCTGTCTATTGTGTTCAATGTTGAAAAATATATTCACTAACCCATCTACGCAGTAGTGTAGGGCAGTCAGCTTGAGCTCTAAGTATTTAATGAATAGGGGATCAGCTTGAATGGAAACTGGATCCTTTTTATGAGTTTAATCTTTGAAAGACTAACATCACAGCCATGACAGGTTGCAGAATGCAGAGCCTGTCAGAGGAAACACCGTTTTTGAAATAATCTTCATATATTTAATTGTTTTAAAACACATCCTCTACAGGAATATACCAGGCTGGTCATTGCTTTTTTTGTTTACCAGTGCCCACATTCTTCTGTAGGCAGCAGTATATCCCAAATGTCTCTAAACCCTGTGTCCACCAATGAACGATCTATACAGTATTTATTATTACAATTGCTTTTGGTAGCTACGTTGGTAGGGCCTTGCATTTAAAAAAGAGTTGACTTGCTGTCATCAGTTGCTGTACAATTAGATTAATGCACCAGCACAATGTGGAAAGCTTCTATTGGTTGATGAAAGCTGACATTTTTTTTTTTGCAAGACTCAAACCACCCCATCTCTGACAGGTTGAGGAGGAGTAGCAAGTTCTAAATTTTAGAATTATTGCATATCTGAGTGACAGTTAGAAACTTGAGAATACCAAAAAGAGCAAGAATGTCCTCATATAGAGAGTTGGTGTTTCCCTGATGTTGCTATGGGTTTTTGGTAAGGGGACAGTATAGATATTTCTGCAGTTCTTTATTATTTCTAAACTGATTTTTTTTTAAATGATTTACACCAGGTTTGGTCTTAGATGGCCTTCCCGTGTATTCAATGCAAGTACTTTGTGGTTGATTGTGAACCTGCACAAGCAAGTGTGCATGCACTGACGGGAAGGAGCTACTTTGCTCTTGCTGCATGGGGCAATAGAAAAGTTTGCAGCAGATCTGCATGATGTCTGCTACAGCAATAAAGTAATCAGTAAAACTATTTAATTGTAAGTACTCTTTTTTTTAACTGGGTGCAAAAAATTAAAGCTGCTGCTTGTAGTAACCTTTCTTGCAGGAAAAATTAATAATAAACCAGACTGTTTGCTATTTTACACAATTACACCGTGTTTCTTCGTTCTTTTGCATTGTCCAGGCCTCTGCAAGTCCCAACTAAGCTTCCTAAACTATTTTTGTGAAATGCTTCTGCTTTACAAGCTTGCACAAGTGACATTACACACTCAACATCTTTATGGAAGCTAGGTAAATGTCTGGAAAAGGAAAATGGCTTAAATATATATTCATTACAGCAAAACAACATATATACAGCTGAGTTCATCAAGCACTGAACTGAGCTTCACTTGAAGATCTTTTAGCATTGCACTGGCATCAGGATCAAGCTGCGGAGAGGAACATTTACATATGCATGATTAGCACATATTTTGCAACACATTTGAAGCCCTACTTATTATTTCACTAGCCTAATACATCTTCTTTAATTCTTTACACTTTTCAGTAAGAGAATCTCTAAATTATTGTTCATCATAGAAGCATCCTGGTAGATGTAATTCAGCTACAGAAAGCCAAAAATGCTATGATTTATTTTGGTTTACAAAACATGAAATAACATATACAGAGGTATATCATAAAAAACTGGCAAGACAAAGCAAATTTAAAATAATAATCATGCTTTGCAGTGATTGTCATTCCTTTTGCAAGTGTGTGCATCTTGCAGTCAGCAGGTTTCATTGTCGATTTGCAGGACCTGCAAGCCTGAATTATGTGACAATGGGCAGAATAATCTGTTACATTGTCAGCTGGTATTTTTCATATTCCATAAGTAATATCAGCATTCACAAATGCCTTACAGAGTTTTTTGTGAATGCCATTCTTCACAGACCCATATATTTTGATTCGCCTTTTATAGATTTTTTTAAACAATTTCCTAAAGAATTACCTTACTATTTAGAACAAGCTGGGCCAACATAACACTATACAAGTGCTTTTACTACTGTTACAGGGACCTACTATTGACAGTAATCTTGATACCTTTTTGTAACATTTGTGTACATTCAATGGCTTCTGTACATAGGGAGTCAGTGGGGACAATGATATAACTACATATATATATATATATGATGTAATTTTGGTTGCAGATATTGCAATGGATTCTGCAGTTTAGAAGGTATAGCACTGCTTCCAAATACAAAATGTACAAATTTATTATTGTGGAAAGGTTTTTTTTTCTTCTGAAATATGTAAATTGAGAAACAGTTCAGAGGCAAAACACAAGGAAATCTTGTTGAAAGTCTGATAACGCTAGTGAATTGTGATCCCATGTTAATTGCCATTGACTTGATGTGTAGTTAGTAGTAACCAAAGGAATGTATTGAAATAACATGCTTTACAAGTTGTGGAATGTTAAAAGGGACAACCAATTGATTTTAAGCTCAAGGTTAATGTGAAAGATCAGTTTGTTAAGTAGGTTAAAAAAACCTGCATAGTGCATAGTCTCTCTAAGGAATCTGGTGCATTTATTTTGTCTAGACGTTTTTATGCTTTTTTTATTTGGCTGTCAGCAAATTGGTTAAATAGTGTATGAGCTGTTTATTTCCAATGATGGTATATTATAATAATGCATTTGGAAATATTAAAATTCAGCCCACACTAATATTCTGCAGCACAGGGCCTGTAGGAATTTTGGAAGTAAAAGTAACAGATGGTAAAGTTTATACAAAATGAGTTTCGTTAATGATTGGACAATTCTAAATTAGACAGCACTTAACATGGCAATTTACTTGTCCTAAATCATCAAATTAATATCAGTATCATTTGTGGCAAGCAATCTACAGACATTTTATTTTACTAACACTGCTTCATCATTTTCAGAGCACAACCTATTTTATGGATTAATTAAATATTGGTTTATCCACCCCTGATGAAGTACTTAACACAGTAAATAGCTTAGTTGTAGGCTTAAAGGAGAACTGCACCCTGGATAATCTGTAGCTAGCCTGCACTAGGCAAGCTTTTAACATCTCTAAATATAAATGTTAGTTTATTCATGAGAGGGTGCAGAAAGAAAACTGCCTGCACCCATAAAAAACAATCAGAACAATTGTTGCTATGGCTACTGCTCTTTACCTTTTTGGTATTTGCCTTGTTTTATTGCCAATCCTACACTTGTAGTTGTAGCAGAGAACTGTAGCAGATGCACATCTTTTTAAATGGACACTAAACTCAGGAGTTAAAATTGAAAAATGCATTAAAGTACGTTACCTATTAACAAAAATGTAGCTTATGTGGGTACCACTCAGCTGTAGACCCTCAAATCATCTCTGAATTGGTGCTGACACTGTCCTTCCTTCTGGAGGTTGGTTACTTTTGTTCATGTTCTCTATGTGTTTTGTAAATTAGCAACCGCTCTAAGCTCACTCCTGTAATGGACTAAAATCTAAATACAAATAAATAAACTAAACGTGAGATAGTAGTCCATCATGAGAGTGAGCTTGGAGTGGCGGCTACTTTACAACACACACAGAGACCTTGGGGAACACAAGTAGCCCCCCTCCAGAAGGAAGGACATTGTTAGCACCAATTCAGAGATGATTTAAGGATCTACAGCCGAGTGATACACAAATAAGATACATTTTTATTGATAGGTAACGTACTTGAATGCATTTTTAAGATTTAACTCCTGAGTTTAGTGTCACTTTAATTATTTGTTCTAGTGATTTGTAACTATCCATAGAATTGCTGCTGTGGCTGGTCAAAATGTTTCTCTACGAAGCTGAAAATTGTTGGGGCATCATGGCCATTAGCATCTGCAATGTATAACTAGCTTTAAACATGGCTCAGCCTCTACGCTACAAATTGCTGGAATTGCTGTAGCACATGAAAAATGCTAAACAGAGCAATGACGCAACTGTTATAAATAACTATGGCCCTAAAAAAATGCTAACATTTAGACTTGGCCACATGCTTCAATTATAAACAATGTGAACCCCCTTAAAATGTGAGTTTTTCTCCAGTATAAAGCAATTTTTTAACAAGACTATGCAATGCTGCCATTTTGGATACAATGGAGGCATAGTAGAGTTCCTACCCATGTGCCCCCTCCCTGTTGTTTGCTAGTTTCACATTGATCTGATCAGCTGCCATTGATACCTCTTCAAGTAGCATGCGTATCTCATTTATTGACGAGGCTTGATTATGAGCCTTTTAAAATATTAAAACTTTAAGAAAATATTCAAACTTAATTATGAGGCTGTTGATCTCTCCTGTAGGAATGGACAAATATATACCAGTGACCTTAGCCAGTGTCCTTTACTTATTTGCATTTAAATAGTTACATATTTAATAAGGTTAAAAATATAATAATGTCCATAAAATTAAAAGTAGATGTAAACCCTAACTGGATGACATTTATTCTACACAAGCAGTATGTATCATTACCAAAAGACATTGGGGTCTATTCACTAAGCTGCCGAAGGATCTAGCCGTAGCTTCGGCTGATCCTTCGGCTAGCTTCGGCCCCAGGACCCCAGGGCTGCTGTATGGGCTATTCACTATAGCCCGGGCTATTTACCATCCGCCCAGGAGAGGAACATTGCTTTTTCTTTTTTTTTATTCTGACACAGAGCAGTGTCAGATTAGAAAAAAAAAACTTTGCTTTAGGTCGGTCATTCACTCGGCTGCCTACATCAGCTTAGTGAATAGACCCCATTGTTTTAATATAAAATACTTGTTTTCAACTTTTTATCCTCTGTTGCATTTCAGTCTTGCTAACTTCTGTCGCATGCATGTACTCCAGCAGTGGCTGTTTTTCATGTATGCTTGATGTGTGTTGGAATGGTCACTTCCAGTTTCCATCAGAAGGTCATGTAATAGGGTGATAATGCAGAAATACAATTGAAAGAATAGGATAGAGAGTTGTGAGATTATGACAAAGTATTTGAACCAGGACCTTTATGGCAGGATCACAAGGTATTATTTTATTAAAAGCTACAGAATTAAAAATGTTGAAAATAAACCTTTATTATATTAACAAAGCTTATATGAGATTTTAGTGACTGGGTTTACATATACTTTTATGTAAAGATCAAAAGTCATCTTTGCTAGTAGACAAAGCAATGAAGTGGAGTTGTGCAAGGAATCATGCTGTAGAAGTTTTATATAGTCATAACTCTATTAGGAATACAAATCACTTTACCAACTAGTTATCACTGTTGCGTTGTGGGATGGGTTCTTTTTAAAAAAAGCAATTCTAGGAAACAACTGAAATCAGTTAGGCTTGGTGCAGACCTTCACAGAACATTACCGCATAAGTGTTAATGTGAGTTTTGTGGTGCATTAATTAGTGTATGGTATCACAAAATGGTACCTTTTAACAGAGAAAGAAACTATAAAACAACACTTTGGGACTACTACTATGAATGGTCCCACCCTCAACATCAAGGGGTAGAAAATGAGCAAAACCACGGACAGGTACCTGAAGGACTCTATGTAAAATAAAGGTACCTTTTAGAGCACCTTTTTTTCCAGCAACCAGAATGCACAGATGGCTCACATCTGTGTGTTATAATACAATAAAATGCTGAGGATGTGCATTGTTGTGACATAAAAAAAGAATGGCTCTGCAGTTGGTTTGTTACTACATATTACAGTAATGCGCTGTAACATGCATGTGTTAACATTCATCAGCACAAGGTGAAAGGCTAATGTTGACAAGGGGGGAATTTATCAAAACTGGGGAAGACAAAATCTGGAGCAGATTTGCACTGCAACCAATCAGCTTCTTTGTCTCATTTTCAAAGCTTTACCTGAGCAAACTGAAGAAAGATGCTGATTGGTTGTCATGGGCAACTGCTCCAGATTTTGTCTGCTCCAGTTTTGATAAATTACCCCCAGAATGTCCCCTCAGTTTACCTTAGACTGAGTTCCCTATATTTATTTGAAGCCAGATTCTAGAGACTTCAATACATATGGGTGTGTGAGTCTGCTTTCATAAGGTCTGTCCCCTCCCCCCCCTTTCCTTACAGATTGCCTATACAATAGTTACTTATTGTATAGGCATCATTGTATAAGTGCAATATCATGATGTAACTTAATGGTGTTCCCTAGTTTATGTACCAGACGTTAGTACCCAAAACTATACGACAGTGGGATACAACATATTAAGTGCAATTGTGGTTCCTAGGAAGCTTGTTAGGAGAGTACTGTATGGTATTTTAGACAATTAGATACATATATTGATACTTTTACAAGTGCCTCACACGTTTTTATGAATTTGATTAGTGAGCTTGGGAATACTGCAGTCTTGACACTTTAACACAGAAAACTTTCTCGATGTGAGACAACAAGATGACCACAGCCAGGGTATTTATGAATACTCAGTTGG